ATGAATTATACTCTTAACAATATTGTTTGCATAAAAATTGTCAACGTAAGAGATAACGTTCGATCAATAATGCCTACTTATTATTAAAAGTAAAGAAACGTCTTTATGAGTTGCGTTCATCATATTTCGTTTAAGGTCATGAAGTACTGGTAGTTGAATTTTCCCACATTGATGAGTAGAGCTGACTTTTCCATTTAATTTCACATAGTCTAACTTTCCCAAAAGGTGTTATCAACCATGCGGACTGTAGTTTCGACCTCGCATAGGTCATATCAACACCCTAAGCAAGAGTCGAATCATGTCAGTGTAGAGTGTAAGCTCGACACATTAATCACTACGCCCCATTTCCATAAATGCCCTTAAGTCACAGGGCAGATGTGAATTTCAATGAATGTCAGGCATTTTCAATATCACATTCTGTGTTGGAAGTGTCGATGAAGCAAAATTATATTTGCTATAGCAATCGACGACATTACATTTTTCGTAATCAATAGGTTTTCGAGGCTAACAGTAAATCAGATATGCGATCCACCCTGGATGATAGCAACACTTGAGAAATCAAGGCTATGTGAAATTCATTGGAAACGTTAGCTCTACTCATATTATTGTGGGAATTTCAACTAACAGTCCTTCAACACTTTACACGAAATAGGGTGAACCCAATTCATATATCTGATTTACTAGTAGTCTACTAGTCTACTACATCTTTAGCATATAAACTCTTAAGGGAGCTGAGTCAATATTCAATTGGTAACTTTATCACTGTACCTCAAAAATTGCGAATGTGCAAAGAACACAACAATTCTGCTTACGAAAATGAATATTTCGCCCTTTAAAATATTTTAGGGAATTAGCAAATCGTAGAACATCAACAACAAGGAGATTTCCTGACGTTGCCAAATATCACCTTAACTGACTAAATTTTGCTTCCCAGGTTTATCTTATAGGATTTAAATCAGTCAGTCTCGGTTATCCAGCAGAGATATAACTGGATACTTCTTTTGTTCCATAAATCTCATACATACACTTAAGTAAAGTCAGGCTTTATATGCTTAAAGATTCCTATCCTTCGTAAATACCAATCAGAACACCCTTCTGCGTTTAATAAAGTACAGCTTAATTTATCTACACAAATTTCATTTAATCCGAGAATTTTTATCCTCCTCAAAATCAATCATATTATATACATGCGATCGTATATTATATTTGCCCCGAATGCTTTTGCTTCCTTTTTAGCTCCTGAGCAATTAATTTGCTTTTATAGCGATGCGTACTCACAGCTACTAATTCCAATTTGCTTGTTTACACTCAGATTACTACTCGAAGGTATACTGCTTGTTCCTACGAGGTGCATTTACCCTATTTCAGTTAAAGTTATAATGGGACTAGTAGTTGAATTTTTCCACAATTCTATGAGTAGATCTTACATTTCGATTGAATTTATCACAGCATTAATTTCCCAAAAGTTGTTCTCATCCAGGGTGGACTGCAGTTTCGACCTCGCCTAAGTCTTATCAACAACCCCAGCGTGACTCGAACCATGTCAGTGTAGCGTATAATCTCTACACTTAAACTACTTCGGCAATGTGGCACTGTCATAGTTCGAGCCCCGCTAGTGGTGTTGATAAGACCTAGGCGAGGTAGAAATTGTAGTTCACCCTGGATGTGAATAACTTTTTAGGAAGTTCAATGTGAAGTTCAATGGAAACGTAAGGTCTACTCATATTATTGTGGGAAAATTCAAACACCAATCTCCTCATCGCTTTAAAAGAAATAGGTAGTCTCGAAATCCCAGTTATAAACGAAAAATACTGATTGTTTGTTATGCCTTTTTGTCTGTATATTCTTTACCTTGAGATGGCAATTAAAGGGCCAGGATTATTTACACATATATTTTGATTCTCCAAAACGTTAATTCTTTATAAAGTTTGTATTTTTCTGCTGATGGAAGCATTCCATTTTGTCATTCAATGCGTTAGTAAAAGGGCGAAATATGTCATCGTCAATCATAGGCATAAATATTATACATAATGTTGCTATATACAATCGAATTATATATATATATATAGGAACTTATGTTTATGTTGGCACATTATAGGAGAATTTACTTGATCTAAAAGATTCGAAAGTTGCCTGGACATGAAAAAAGCATCACCTAATAGGCTTAGGTAATAGGAGAATTAATATACGAGAGTTTATGTGAACTCTAAATTTGGAAACAGCATACTAATCAGTAAACCTGTGGACGACCTAACCGATCAAGACATCTAATTGACAATAAATTTGATGATATTAGAGTACCTTTCACTTCGTTTGAAGGGTTAAATGGAAGGAATTCGTAAGTTGGCCTCACCGGAAGCTGAAAGTGGATTGCATAGGAACTGTGATTGCAGATTTGTGCGAATAGGTCCTCAGCGCACTGCCCTGCGACCCCAATGATTTAGAGGATGTTTAGTTTATGTCAGTGAATGTATTTATTCATTCAGTTGGTTACCGACTTACATTGTGGCAAATCACTTCAAGTAGCGAGGCTAAACCGGATTAAAGCTGCGCAAATAAGTAGTATTAATAGTTTACCCAGTTTTATGTGCGAAATTAGGCGAAGAGATATTTATGGACTTGAGAACTCGTCTAATGTGATCAGACTTGCTCAGACCAGAAAATATATCCTTATGGCCTGCTTTAATACTCCCGGAACTAAGATGTTGTGGGAGACAAACCCGTAAAATAGATTTAATGCGTCAAGTGAGCTTTAGCATTATAGGGACAATTGCATCACTTGATGCATATATGCCTGCATAATATGAATTTTAACAAGCAGGAGAACTATAAAATTTCGTAGGAATTTAAGTAAAAGTTGCTTTCATTGACATTTATATTGTACGCGAGTTGACATTGTTTTCCTAAGCTCAAATTCCTATCACTATTAACGCTTTATATGCTAGACCTATTTAGAATACATATTTTATTGGTCAAGTAGTCATTTATTATACCATACTGCAACAGATAACAACCAGGAAAAAATGCTTAAAGGCAAACACATCGATTACTGAGGTTATGCAAAGATACATAAATTATTAGCCAAGGAATCGGTTGGGTAGTGACACTCCAAAGCGATTTCGTGCATTCGGCATACGCAAAGGTGAAAGAGCGTCTAAGGATAGGAAAGTTCCGACCTTAATGAAGCAAAAACTAATCAATTTCAGCCTAAGATCTGCCGGCCTACAATTTAGATGGAGACAGGTTTGTTCGCTATGGTATTAAAAATAAAATGGCAAGTAGCTCACTGGGCAAAGTAAACTCCAGAGATACAACTTGCCCCCTAAATATAGTCCATGCACAAATGAATAAAGGCATATACACCCAAGTGCTACAGCAGATATCGAAAATGGAAACTTTTGATAGAAACGACATGGTGCACAAAAAGTCGCCATTTGGCTATATGCCATGAATTGCTCTGATAGAGATCAATGTAGACGGAGGTAGCCGTAAATGGACTGAATATAGTCCATCACCAAAAGTCTCCTAAATTGAAGAGGGATTACCCACACCTGCACAAGATGAAGCATACCTAAAGCGGTGCACCGGGCAGTCAGTAAAGTGAAAACAATGCACACTAATACAGTTCAACGAAATTCATTCAGCGATAATATAATATTAATCGGACTAGCGGCATTTAATTAGAAAATAACAGAAAGAATGGCGTCTATATTAATTATGGAAAATGTGAGGGCTCCATTCTAGTGATCTGACTTACCTGTATTGCTAGAAGCCTGCTCACCGCCGTCCCCGACACTGCTGCTTGGAGATTGACTCCAGTTGCCCACCTGCACGAGTCGTGTGGCTATCAGAGGGTGGGCTTTCATTGGGTTGGCCCACTCTTCGCGAGTGATAGGCGCTGTATCGTAAAGGAGCAGATCGCGATCCGACAAAGCAGCGAAAACAGGCCGCCAAGATATCGGTGATGAGGCTACATGACTAGACGAGGTGGAAGCTGAAGAAGTGGGATCACTTAACAACGTTGTGCGCGGGACTGGTGTATGGTAGGCCAGACGGTGGTCAGACTGAAGACTTTCGGATGTGCCAGTAGATTCAGCCAAATGATCAGGACTGATGTGAACTTCATCTCTTCTAGTGGTAGAGACGGCCTTCTGGAGTTCCAGCATCCAGCCAAGTCGTTTGAGTTCCTAATTATTTGAAAATCAAAGGGAGGTGTATAAGAATAAAATATATATATAACAAATATTTTAGACATCCATAAGTGGGTAGGAATAGCTCAAGAGAAGGATAAGGCTTTATGTCCCTCATTCCCAGTTGAATTAACCATTAAGTAAAAAGAAAATATTGTATATCCTAACATAAAACTATTGGTTAATACTGTGCGAGGAGCTATTAAAACACAGATATTAACCAGACACAAAGACCCTCCTCTTTAAATGGCTCAAAGGTTGTCCTTGGTAGAGCATTCATATATATATATATATATATAAGATGTGTTGACTTGGAAATAACTTACAATTTCAGCTGAACTTTGCAACTTGTCTTTGCATCTGTATTTGACGAGAATATCGAGCCATTATAAAGATTAACCATTTTATAAGTTGTTTGACCTTGTTTTCGAAACTTGGTCAT